TTTAATTTTGTAAGCTGTGCTCGAAGACAGTGTTTTAGTGTTCATTTATTTGCTCATAAAGAGGAAAAACGTGAGAAAGAAAAAAAATATATATTTAAGGATCTATTTATATATTAATGAGTATAAAAAAATATAATATATTTAAAATTATTTTGATAAAATATAATATATAAAAATAATTATTTTTATTTGAAAATAAATACTCAGAGCAATAATTTCAACAAAATGGTTGCGATAGTGATGAATGATGATGACAGAGAGCAGTGACGAGATGAATCAGGGCCTAATGACTTGTATCTGGCAATAGTGGCAAGCGATGGGTGCTTGACGGTGTCTAGTGAGTAAATAGCAATGAGCGAAAGTAGTTACTGGCAAATGATGGGCGGCATACAATGATTGGTTCGTCAATACAAAGAATTTATAATTTATTTAAAAATAAGCCAAATCTAATAATGTTCGAATATAACAAATTTGAATCATATGATAAATTTTAAATTTATCAATGAAATACATTACATTTGTAATCTACTCAACCAAATTAATTATAATTTTATCTGTAAAATAAAACTATTATTTTTGAGATATTTTGTTGCTTTTATGTTTAATTCTATTTAATTAATGATGAAAATTAATAATTCCGTTAAATCAATTTAATCGTAATAAATTAGCAATTGGAGTGTTAGCACGACCAATCCACGCCCACGCCGGTGAGAAAAATAGATCAAGACCTACAGTATTTTTGCCAGTGGCTTGTTTTAATGATTTCTAATCGTTTGTGCTCAAAACATGTGAGATAATTTTTTTTAATAAATTAATTAAAAAAACTGTGTCAGCATATTATGACGTAAAAGCATCAGGATGGATTTTAAAAATTTTAAATTTATATTAAAATTAATATTATATATTTAATAATCTCAATACAAATTCAAATATTTCTGATTTTCTTATTTTTATTTATATATGTTGAATCTTTATATAATATTGAAATATAAAATAATAAGAAAAGTTGTTCCACATGAAGCTTTAAAATGATCGTCCTGTACGAACTAGGTTCGTCCAGTACGAACGGTTATTACAAGGTCGATTCTAGAACTGCTGAAAAACTGTCCTAAGTCGGTTAATCGTTTGGACGAAAATTGATTCGTCTGGACGAAATTTTTACAGAGGACTGATCGTCCTGTACGATAAATTATTTCGTCTGGACGAAAAATTTCCCGAGGACTGATCGTCCTGGATGATAATTTATTTCCGTTTGGACGAAAATTTTCCAGAGACCCAATCGTCCTGGACGATAATTAATTTTGTCTGGACGAAAATTTTACAGAGAACCTATCGTCCTGGATGATAATTTATTTCGTCTGGACGAAAATTTTCCAGAGAGCCAATCGTACTGGACGATAATTTATTTCGTCCTGGACGAATAGAACTTAGAAAAAAATTTTCAAGCAAGTTCCTATTCGTTCCATATGCTCTATAGGAGATAACTGTCTGATCGTTCAGTACGAACTGAAGATCGTCCTGTACGATCAGTATAAATTCTACATGATCTCCTTATGTGTGAATGTTTTTATTTTCTCAACATACAATCACTCCCTTTCAATTTGATTTCTAAGAAAAGTGCAAGCTTCAAATTTTACAAAGTATCTCATGCTGAATTTAATTTGAAGTCTTCGTAGTCTGGAGTTCGTTTTTCCTGAAATGTCAGTACACACAAGAGCAAATACAATTCTTCCAAAATTGTTAGGAGATAACTACACATTTGAACAATAATGTTTGAAATCATCAAAACTTTATAAGTTGCAAAAATGAAAAGCATGCAAATAGCAATTATCTTAACAAACCATAGCCCCAGTACCTTTAGAACCTTAATCTGCCACCATTAAAGTTTTCAGTCACACCTTGGAGGATTTGCTTTTGTGCTTTATCAAAAGCTCATGCTCCTCAAAAATGTCTTGTAAAATAAAAGTGGCACTCTTCCTTCAAAACATCTAATTCTCTCAATCAACTTAAAACTAAGGCTTTGTTTGGGACGGCTTTTTTACTGCTTTTTAAAACGGAGTTTTAGTATAAAGTTTTTTATTTTTGTACTAAAACTTCATTTTAGAAAGCAATAAAAAAAACCGTCCCAAACGAAGCCTAAGTAATTGAAAGTTCATTACTCTTAAAATCTTATCCTCTAGATCGCTTCTTGAGCTCTAAAACAAAGATTATTAATGACCTCCTAACCAATTTTCTTCATTTATTTCTTAGATTACTTAGGGAGAAAAAACCAAGTTGCTCACCAATGAGAAGGATTATCTTTTCTCTACTCTAAGAGGAAATATAGAAGAAATAACGAGCACATCAAAAAGCTTAATATTATTTCTTGCTCTTTTTTTCCAATAAATTTTAATAGATTTCAACAAAGTAAATATTAATAGTCACTGACTTTCTAAACATGACATCAATTTTTTTTTTTTTTTTTAATTACGTTAATGGAGATTTCCTCACATTGAGGTTTCAAGACCAAAGGCTTCGATCCACCCTCTCTTTTTACATAAAAACTCACATTTCTAAAGTTTTGCTATTATTATATTATTACTAGGATCAACATTGCTTTTTTTTCTCCTTTAATGATTTCAAATAAGTAAACCCTCTCTTGTCTTTCTTATTTGCATTACTATGGATCCTCTATCTATTATTTTTGATAATATGACTGTTATTGGTCTCTTTAAGGGCAAATTATTACGTCCGGTGTCCGGATTCGTCCGGACACCAATCCAGACGCGCCACGTCACCAAAATACACTAGGTCTCAATGTATTTGGATGACATGGAGTATTTGGATTGGATGTCCGGACGTCCGGTGACCGGACGTAATAATTCGCCCTCTTTAAGGGGATCATTGTTGATGAAATAAATCTCTCAAATCTTATTTATGTAGATGACCTCTTTTTGGTGAATAATAGCATGAACAATTTTATTTTCCTTTAAGCATGCTTGGACAACTTCCACTCCTTTGGTCCAAAATTAATGCTCAGAAAAACAATATTTGTTTGCACAACCTCTTTTACACAGCTCTCATTCAAAAGCTTCCAACTTTCAAGATTTTATAGAGAAGATATGTAGGCTCTAATATAGTTGGAAAGCTAATATAATCACCATTTGAAGAAGCACCATGTATTGGGATTCCTTCCATGCATGTGTTGTGCTGAACTTGCAAAGCAATAGATAGAGCCCTTCATTTAGATTAATTATTATATGCGAACGCTCAGGGGCGGATCCAGCTTCTTTTTTAGGGTGGGCAAAAAAAAATTTTTTTGAGTGATGGGCAAAAATTCTTAGGATTGATAAAAGTAAGGCAAAAAAGATTTTTGAGGGGGGGGGGGGGGGGGGGGAAAATGGGGGGGGGGGGGGGGGGGCAAAATGCCCAAAATATTTCAAAATCTCCCTTTTAAATATTAAAAAAAAAAAATTTTGAGCATGGGTGAATCCGCCCATGCGAACGCCGAATGCCATCCGAATACCAATCAGAATGCGCATCGTCACCTCTGTGCTCGATACCGCTCGGTATTGCAGCTCGGTACAACTGACGTGAAGCATTCAGACCATACAGTTTTCTACGTCCGGTCTCCGCACAAAATAATTTCTCATTCATTTAATGAATTTAAACAAGGCATGAAAACTGTTGATACAACCATTAAATAAAATTCACTGATTACTTTGTAATGTCCAGAATGAATAATCACCTAGCCGAGAGCACTTGATAATACGTAAACTCTGGCCAGGCTATATGAGCTACCCACACCCATTAGAACTCGTGGCCGATTCTTATTAGATCCCCCAAAAAGGGGCGCTGCCGCCCGACGGAATAAAGCACGAGTTGGGATACCCAATCGTATTAGCCCACCAACCACGCTAAGCATCGATGGGTAAAATGAATCACCAAATCATATTTTTTTCCCCAAATCATCAAATGGGACTGCAAGTCCAGTTGTATTCCATTTCCATCAGCATCAATCAACGTGGCTCTTTTTCAAAGCTCATAATGGATGAGAGACCAAGAACAGCCTGGAGCTGCCTGTCTTCTCATTAATGGACAATTAAGCTTATATAATCACTCAATTAGTAGATCAAAGATTAATCAGACTTTTGACTACAACTACTTCTGAATGGAATTAAAAGACATTCCTCTTACAAGATCAAGATTTGATTAAGCAAATTTATACATTCTGAATTTCTGATAAAATAATATTGACAAAACCTGAATAATGATGAAATCCGACCTATAATGTCAAATGGAAACTGGGCCAAAGGAGTCATCAATGGGTGCTGGGCTAGGCTGGCAAGTGGTTGAGTGGGCCCTACACAGGCTCACAAGAACACATACCCAACTGTTTGCATTAAAAATAAAGATAGCAAAATTTCAAACTGGTCCCATTCACCATTTTCATTACAGAGTTGTATCCCACGGCATTTAAAAGAGACCAGAGACAACATGAATATTGTGCAAAACACTATAAATATTTAAATAAAATTAAAAAAGATATATATATATAGAGAGAGAGAGAGAGAGAGAGAGAGAAGAGGTCCCACAGCTCAGCTGTATGGAGCAGAGAGAATCATGCAGCAAACACATGATACAAATACATGCGCTATGCTGTTGGTGTTTGGGGAAAAATTATTACGTGCAGCATCCGGATTCGTCCGGATGTGAATTCGGACGCACCACATCACCCAGGGCTAGTACATCCGGATGATGTGGCGCGTCTAGATTCACCTCCGAACGGTTCGAACACCGCACGTAATAATCTCTCTTGTTTGGGACAGCTTTCCTCTTGCTTTCTAAAACAGCTTTTAGTATAATATTTTTTAATTGTTTTAAAAAGCTGTACGATAACTGTCCCAAACGAAGCCTTAATCTCAAAGGCATTAAAAAGTTGAAGAAAACTCAGGAAATAGAGAGGAAAAACTCGAGAAATCCAGTCCAAAAGCTAGCAGCAGAAGCCAGAAAGCACACAGTGGACAACTTGTAAACATATATTAAGCAAGAAATGAACATAATAAACATCATACAGGAGCATGGTTTTCTTCTGAAACAAATACAAAGCAGCACTATTATTACATTGGAGGAAGACAAGATACAGGACTTAATTCAGTTTTCTCCTCCATTTTCCCCGCTTTTCCTACTTTCTAACACAATTTGCTGCTTAATGCATCACTGAAAGGATAAAAAATGAGCATGGGCATTCAAGTCCTCAGCATTATATGTCTAGGTGAATAAATATAGCAGGTCGTATCAGGTCCTCCTGCCTTTATTTCAAAGAATTCAATGTAGAGATGATCAACTGCAGTAGTACATGAACAATGTTGACCACCTCATTTAGTTTCTCTCAGTCTCTCCTCCAAACTAATAAAGAATCAAACGATGCACCACTGCAGTAGCCACCTAACTTCCAGTGAACAAACTACACAGGGCGGGTAAGCCCAAGCTCTTGTTCCAGTTAACCGGATCAATGAGTCGGGTTCGCCCGTAAAGAACAAAAGACTAAAGACAAAAATTGCAACACTGCCTGTGTTTTCTATCTACAGCATAACACATAATTTCATGAGGGGAAGAAATTTCAATGACTAGTGTAGTACCTTCTTCCAATTTGTGTCTCAACTGCAACTAAGCCAAATGTAGACTATCCATGCTCAGTTGCAGTCTAACCCACACTCCTCCAGAACCGGGCCATCAGACTTTGGCAGGAATGGATCAATCCTCACCCACAGCAGCGAGAAGATTGAAGCCAGAAGAATGGACCACACGATAATGATGGTCGGTGTTCTATTTTGTCGACCAACCAAACCTTTCAAGAAAGGATAGAGATGAACAATCACCCAGAATGCGAAGAAGAGACGGCCAAAGAGGGGTCCCCAAGACTCATATCCATTGTTGATGGCATTGGAGACCCCAGCAACCACACCAATCATGTTTATCACAAGCAGTGTCGTTGGAGGGATAAGCAGTGTGGTCCACTTGAATGTGTAGAGCTCCGAAAACTCCTCGTCATCGCCGGCCTTTGATGTCACGGTGAAGTTTGTATCTATACCAGCTAGAACCTTCAGAAGGCCCTGAAAAACTGCAAATAGATGTGAAGAAACACCCCCAATGACCCAGAATTGCTCATTTCTCCACCAGTCATCAATGCCTATGCCACTCCATCTCATCTCAAGAATACTAGTCGCAAAAATGCTGATGAAGAGAGAGATAAACCACAAGCTAGCAACATTGCTCAGCTGCAACCAAGAGAGTGACTAAGTAACAATCTACATGATTAAAACCATGGATTTTCAAAGTATTGTTGATATCACATACCTCTGGAGTAATAAATTTCCCAGTGAGCAAGCACACAGCAGGCAAGGAACAGTAGGCCAAAAGAGGAATTGATGTAAACGGATAAACCGTCGCATTAATGTACGAAAACCGCTCCAGCCACTTGAGCCCTCCTCCATAACCATACCATAATGGACAATGTCTGCTCAAGAAAATTTCTACAGAACCAAGAGCCCACCTCAGCACTTGGTGGAGACGATCAGATAGATTGAGGGGTGCAGAGCCTTTGAATGCAGGTCTAGGAGGTATGCAATAGATTGAACGCCACCCGTGACAATGCATCTTAAATCCTGTCAAAATATCTTCTGTGACAGAACCATAGATCCAACCAACCTAAAAGAATAGAGAAAAGTTTATCTTCACAAGGCAAAATAAGGAAACGTGTTCTGCATAGAAACAAGATGTGAATCTGCACCTCTTTTCCCCAGTCTGTTTTGTCCTCATATCCACAGCTAATAACATGAATGGCTTCCTTTAACAAAGATGCTGGAGATGCACTTTTCAGTGTTCCACCATTCTCTAATAGGGTAGAAGCAACAAAAACCGGAGATTGGCCAAACTTCTTTTCTAACTTTAATGACATACTGGTTGATTTTTCACCCTCAATCCCTGTATGGGTGTAAAAAGATTAAGCTCAATTGAGAAGGAAAAAAACACATGTCAACCTTCCTCATTCATTCAAGTGTGCCATAGCTGAAAGAGGACAATGAACACAGAAAAACACAGGAAACTTTTGATGCAAAGCTATTAAGCAAGATTGTTTAGTATCAAAATGGATAATTCAAACGCCTAAACAACCACTTTTCTGCATGAATTTGTAGCTGGAAAACCTAGACTTCTTTAATACCAACTACACTTAAGCTCACTAAGTAACGAGTATGAACTCATTCTGACAGTCTTTTATGATGATTTATGCTTTGGCCAGATCACTCATAGCAGAAAAGAGAATCAAACATTAGAGATATGTGCAAAAAGAGAAGATAGAAGCTTATTTAAAGCCAGCAAAAGATTACTAGGAATTCTACATGAAGAGTCCTTAAAGTTCAAATTATCATACCAAAATGTAGATAGAGAGATTTACCATCAATTCCCTCTTCTATACCCTCCAAAGCAAAAGCAGGTGCCCCATTCTCTCCCTTTCTAGAATTTTTTATTTTCTTTTCGCTCTTTGTTTTGACATTCTTCTTCTTCTTTGTCCTCCCAGAACAGCAGCAGCAACAGCAACACCACTTGGGCAAGCAGTTGCATGTCCTTGTAGGTGGCTTCTTTATTTTGGGAGCATCAAAACCATAAAGTGCTTGCCTCCGGAATACACATCCAGTCCCAACATAAATTGGCCCTTGAATCCCATCAAGACCTTTCATGTTGATCTACAACAGAAGAGTTGGAGTCAGAATCTCATGGATCCAGTTTGCAGTGTATGAGAAAATATATTTTTGCCATGGAACATTACAAACTTACATCAAAGAACACAATATTTCTATTAGCATATCGATCATGGCGATCAATGCCATCAAACCTCTGAGGAAATTGCACATAGCAAACTCTCTTTCCAACCAGTGGATCCATCATAAAGCACATCGCCTCTCTTATTGCTTTGCTATTGTTGAAGTAGTGATCACAATCCAAGTTCAACATATATGGAGCATTTGTAAGTACAGCTGAAACTCTAACCTGATAAAAACCAACACGCAATAGTTATATTGCTGCAGCAGAGATCCGCTGTTTTATTAGCAAAGAACAGCATGTAATTCTTTACCAGAGCATTCATAGCACCGGCTTTTTTGTGGTGATTGAAACCGGGCCTCTTCTCTCTTGAAACATAAACTAAACGTGGTAGCTCATTTCCATCCATATCATGCCCACCACTTTGGCCCAAAAAGACCTAAGAGTTCACAGGACAATGAGATTTCATTGGAAAAGTAGAAAAGAGGGAATCAAACTATTGGACTTAAAATAAAAAATAAAAAAGCACAGAAGATCATAAACTCAGACCTGAATCATTCCAGGGTGATCACGAACATTATTTCCAGGCCATAGGGTACCATCCTGCATTGTCCACCCTTCCTCAGGAACTTTTTGAGCTTTGGCAACCAAAGCATTGATCCGGACTTTGAATTCTTCATATTCTCTCTGAAGAAAGCATCATATTTAAGTTTCAGATTAAGTAAAAGAAAAAAAAATATGCCAGTATAATTGCAGAACCAGTGAGAACCATTCTATCACCTTCATTGCTCTCCGTTCCTTTACAAATGATGGTAAGACTTTATCTTTTAAATAATCAATCTTTTGTTGGAAATACCACTCTGGCGCCCTCGGCTCAATATTGAACTTCTTGCAAAACGGAACCCATTTTTTTGCAAACTCGGATGTCTCTGACAATGCTTCAAATGTGAGCATTGCCGCACCATCATCAGAAACAAAGCAAGAAACTTTGTCGACCGGGTAATCAACAGCGAGAATCGAAAGAACCGTGTTTGCTGTTACCAAAGGAGGTTCCTTCATAGGATCAACTGTACTCACAAATATGTCAATAGGGGCTAGCTGAGAAGTTTGACCTTCTTTCTCATACCTGAAAATATAGTAAACGTAGGAAAGGTTCAGTTGGCTGGACAATTCAATTGTATGCTGAGTAATTGAGTTCAATAGAGGCTAGTTTTATTAACCTTAATGACAATCTGTCAAGGTAAGTCTCCCTCTCAATTGGAAGCCATTTTGGAAATTGATCAAGAATCCAAGAAACAGCAAACCAAATTTCACATATTACAGATATGAGCCACAAAGCAAATGCATCAGGCACGGGATGCGTGACCCGGTAATGAAAGAAAAATCCAACAATTACAAGCCGAATTATGATGATCATTCTGTACGGGTTGATTTGGCTAGAAGAAATGGGCAGCTTTCTTGATAGTGGTTGTCTAGCTTCATCCATTCTGTCATAAGATGAGTTAAGAAATTATTAGATTAGGAAGTAGAAAATAAAGAGGTTGAGACAATTAATAACACGAGTAAATTTACATATCAAACGACAATTATAACTTCCCAAAGGAGGAAACAAACAATGAGCATTGCATCACTTTTTTTTTTATAAATCTCATTGAAAACCATGATAAATATCGCAAAATTTCCATCTTGGTATATCTTTCTAGCCAAGATACACACCATGATAACACCTAGCATAGCAATCTTAGAGATTTTACACAACAATTTCATTCAAATGCCAGATCTTACGGCACGCAATAACATTTCAATGCAGCATTTTTAACTCATATGGTCAAGTAATTTATAATGAAATTATAGGCAAGTTGATAGCAAGAATCAATACAAAATAATAACAGAGACATCTAGCAAAAAGTCTTCAAAAGATTAACACTCTTCAATGTGCAAGGAACATGCACATACTATCGGACCATACCGCAGAGGCAAATGAATCAAAAAATTTTCATCCCAAAGGTAATTCTGCAATGTGCCCTAATTAACATATAGAAGACTCCTATAATGAAGCCTTTAAAGAATTGTATTGGTGTCCAATTCTCCAACAAAAATATACTGCAACAAATAGCAATGATAGAAGTGGTGGTAACAAATTAACATTAGTCATTAATAAGTACTGCCATTCAAGCAAAACTAGTCAAACTTTCTGAAGATAAAAAAGTGCAGGGCCTTACAATGGCAAGTCTGGTCCATCACCATCATTATCCCAATCCTTGCCACCATTTTCAGTTCTAGACATATGCAATTTCTCTTGCTTCTGTTTCCAATGCTCCATTCTCTCTTTCCATGCCACACTTCCATAACCATAAGCAGCAAGATCCTTGGAAGGATCCATAGATCTGGGTTGAACTGCAAGGGAGAAATGTTACCCAAATTTTCTCAACAAAGTAGAAAGTTTAATTGTTATTTCAACCTGGGAGACAGAAAGGTCTGAAAGGAAAATATTTGGGAAGTTTTAACAATTTAATTATCTAATGAAAGTGCAGGTCAATATACCAGGAAGACTGGGATCTGAAAACGGGAGCGGGTGGATCCTCTTCCCTCCACCACCCATGAAAGAGGGGACAAGAGCATGCTGTTCTGGAGGGATATCATCAACCTGTAGTCGAACATATGCAACCAGTGAGAAAAATAAGTTAAGGCAATTCCAGCAAGATCAGATTTTTCTTTTTTCTTTTTTTTTTTTCCTTTTTTATTTTTTATTTTTTCTTTTTTCAGCACAGCTTGTGTGCAATTTGAATTTCCCCTTATCATAACCCATATGGCAACTTAAAAATAGATTGCAGTGATTACAGAACATGATAGGAGAAAGTCAAGGAAAAGTACCATTTGGCCATTGGTGAGTAAAGGAACCGTAGGCATTGCATGAAACACTTGAGGAAATTCCACATCTCCTCGTCCATAGCTCATGTGCCCCTGCAGCATTGACTCGGCAAGATATTGCCCATCCACCTTATTCCTTCCCACAAAATTGAATTCATTCTCAAGATCGTCTACATCATCCTCTTCCTCATCTCCGGCAACTCGAGCACAACCTGCTCGTTTATCATAAAATTAAAAAGTCCCATTTTGACTCAGCTACAAGTAAGAGAGGTGAGAATGGCAAGAAACCCTACCCTTGAGGCGCTTGAACCTGGTTTTGCACTGAGGACAGACCTGGTTTCCTTCTCTGCGCTCATACTCATAGCAAGTGCGGCAAATCGGGAAGGCGCATTCATTGCAGGCCACAAAGAGCTCCCCATCAGCGGTAAGCCCAACATCGTCCCCGCAAATATGGCAGATCTGACCACTTAGGTGCTGCAAAGGCCTCGGCTGCAAGAAGACCGCAAGAAGCAAAAACAAGTTTAGTCAACGTCGGAAAAGGAAAATCTGAGTAACCATTCGGTTTAGCCGTGAAATGCCGCTTAGGGTTACTTACTCCCGGCTCGCCCTCACGGCGGATGACAACGAGCTCATTTCTATTGTGAGAGCCGGCGACGAGACCAGCACTGGCCTCCATCTTCTCCTTGAGAGATTTCTTCGATGATATCCCCTAAAAAAAAGAAATTTCCCCCCGATCTACAGAATACAACTGAAACCTAGCTCGAAAAATCCGGGTTTTCGACGCTTTGATGAAGAATGGGAGTCCCTTTTGAGCGATCAAAGCTGCAACTTGATCATATCTTAAAGCTTCCTCATCTGAGAATGAGGGAAGCGAGGATGGGGAAAGCCCTCACTGATATGGCAGGAACCCCTGTCCCCCCCTCAACCTCTTCTTATTATTCCTTGCTTGTTGCCTACCGCTTCACGGTGAAGGAAATAAATATATTTTTAGATTTTTTTTTTTTTTACTGAAATACTCCTCGCATTAATACTTTTTTTAACATACAAGAGTAGCTATACCCGTTATATTTTTAAAATCCTAATAATGAATTTTGGAATATTGCACACAAAACTGATAATTTTTAATATTGTGTGAATTGTGACAATTTTAAATATTTTGCAAAATTATTAAGACTTTACCAACCCTAATAATTTAAGATGGTCACATCAAAAACCTAATATTTTTACAGAGAATTCTAATAAATAAATAAAAAATTATTATTAAATTCAATAACATACAAAATAGAAAAAAAAAGATTTATATTGTCAATCCCATATATTAAAATAAAGACATTATGTTATTATACTTGTTGCTAATTTGTTAGAAGTCTCTTCATTAGTCCAAGAATTTTATCTTTTCTTGAATTAATATATATATGGGAGATTTACAAACATACCACCCTATAATACTCTATTTACATATTTAGCATCTAAAACTTTAATATTACATACATACCACCCTTAGTTCCTTTTCATATCAAATATGAGTGCTAGAAATGAAATATATAAGTGGAATATTAAAATTTTAGGTGTAGATATGTAAATAGGATGGTATAAAATGATATATATGTAAATTGTATTCGTCAAATTTCATAAATAAGCATATGAGTCGTATTTCAAATCAACTTTATGTCAATAACGTTAAGATGTGTCAGTCCAATGAACTCGCAAACATTAATTTTTAGTAAACTCACAAATGATATATAGGGTTGAAAGCGGAAGAGATATTAAATTATGCTTAAAATTAATTTATCCATGAGATATATAACATTCGTTCAGGTTTATAATTCTAAGATTAAATTAAATTCAAGAATTTTTTTGTCCTTTAGGGCATCTCCTACCGAAAAACTCAATTTTCACTCTAAAGTACAATAATACACCAAAATGCAATAATTTGTTTCCAACCGAACTATATTTTATAACACAAAAAAGAATATTATTGTATATTTTTTCTCATACTTTATTTTAACATGTTTTTTGAATTAAAAATAGTAATAATAATAATAACGTGTGAACATTGCGACGCCAATATTTGTGTCTCATTGTTCACCCACATCCTTTTAGCTTTTTTTTTTTTGCGCTCCACTAGAGTAATCGACCTACGCTATACATTCGTTTGAAGTTTGACTGCATAAGCTCTTAGAAACATTCACCCTCTAGATTATCTAAATATCTTAGTCTTAAGTAATTTAGAGTATGCAATCTCTTATGTTATGCAAAATATCAATTAATCGTCTAGTCTTTGATCATTAAAAATTGTACATCGTCAATCGTGATATCATCTTCAGTATGTCTGACAATAATTATACAGCTCATAAAATACTTGTTTATAAAATTATGCAAGTCTTTAGATATCATAGTCAATCACCCGTTACTAATTCTACTAAAAATTAAACGAGAAAATAATGTTATTAATTCTTTAATAATTACAATCTTATCTCAAAAAATAAAAAAAAATTAACTTACTATTATAATTATTATTACTTCATAAACAAGCAAATAATGAAACTGTCTTCATTTTAATCACAAATATCTTTTATCTACTTTCAAAAATGGCTAAAGTTTTCCAACAACTTTTGCAAAAATAAAAAATAAAGTAGGAGAAAAAGATAAACAAAAGCAGAGTTCACCTTTCAATAAAACAAAAAAACAAATTTCTCTAAATAATAAAACGTTAAAATAGTGAAAAATAAATAGACATTAAAAGCAATAAAGCAACTAAAAAAGAAGAAAGATAATGCAATTAAAAAAAAAGGAAGGTGGGTGAGAGGTTAAGCTCAGAAAAATAAATTAATGAAATGGTTGAGGCATCTCTTTGTTGGCTCCTCATAATATGAGAACCCAAACAGCATTGTCCTAACTGGCCCCTCTCTCTTTCTCTCTCTTCTCTCTGGCTTTCTCTTTCTATCTCTATCTATCATTGTATATATTCTCCATTTTTTTTCTTTGTACCTTCCACTTCTTGCATGTCTCGATCAACAGCTCCCGCCGACACTTCTAATACGCTGATTAAGACCCTCTCTTATGCTAAGCAAGTGATTATACGAAGATTAAGTATTTTAATGATTATTTAATGAGGGAAAAGGTGGAGATTGCGCGTGGGAGGGAATGGTGCAAATTATTGGAGAAAGGATTAACCATTGATTTTGCAGTTATTAGAATGCTAATTTTTATGTACTAAAAATTTACTTAAATTTTTTATGTTAATATAGATTTGAATTTAAGTGATAATTTGCATGAAAATATCAGGTGCATGTGAATAAATAAATAGAGATAAAATTACGCATAAAATTTAAAAAAAATATATATGTAAAAATTTGGAAAATAGAAAATTTATGGGCCTATTAACTTTGAAATAGGTCAAAATTTTAACGACAGACCTCTTCTTAATTGGAAAATAAAAAGTATGAGAGTTAACGGACGCTTTTCATAAATGATGGATAATGTGTTGAATGTTGATTATAAGTCGGATTGATGAATGATGATAATGAACATCTTTGATGGACATCTGATTTTATAAGCTAACGAGTTTCAACTTCAGTTCTCAGCAATGTTAGATGTTTATCATTAAAAGATGATGGCTTGGTCTTTCTCCTTTTTGGAGGAGCATCGTTTTACCTGCTACTTTTATTATAGAGCAAAAAATATCAACTCGAAGCTCTTGATATTGTGAACTTAATAGTATTGATGAATACAAATCTTACGTTCCTATTATAGATGTTTCAAATTTGTTTTAAAATGATGCTTGTTTCGAGCATAACTGCACTAAAATTGGAGTTCATTCAACCATTTAAATAAAAAGTATGTGCTTTTTGATTAACTTTATAACATATATCACTGATAAATAATGCCTTATATCTCACTATTTAAACCCTAATCTTATTTTGTTTTTAAATTTTATTTTTAAATTTAACTTTTGATATTAAAAATATAACATAAACTCTTCAATTTTGCATGTAAAATTATATATTTATTAAAAAATTTACTTATTTTATATTTAGTTTTTAATAAAATTATTCCATAATTTATTTTAAAATAATATAAATTTTATAATATTAACTGTACGTGAATAAAATATAGGTTAAAAAAATTCAGTTTCAACGCCAAATTAAATTATTATTTGACAAAATTGATCGATGCTGTATCATCGGCTCCTTATTTCTGATGGGATTTATTTCTTGTAAGTACCTATTAGTAAAAAATAAATAAATTTTCTGATAAATGCTTCTAACTAAATTAAATACAACAGCAGAGCATTGCGAGGCAAGGATTCGCACGTGGGTTTCAGTGGTGACGTCTCCAGACTCCTTGCATGGGGCCCACGCGTTTCTAAGCCCGCGCGCGGGCATTTCTGTCATTAATTTTCTCGCTTCTCCACTAACGGGACCAGCAACAACCACACTCACTCTGCACCCACCACTACGAACCCTAAACTTGATGCATACTTCTGCGGTCACGGTGAGGACCGGTTTTTCACCCTCGGTAATTGTTTCGTCGGTGACCATCGTTCGAAGATTCAAGTTTTCAACTTTAAACTCGTAGCCGACACCGCGCCGTTTTCATTACCGCGGTAAAATTTCCGCGGAGCACGGCAAAATAAGATGTTACCCCACGGCGGTAGGGAGGAGCACGTGGCTCGTGAGGTAGGCGTAAAGAGACCGCAGCGGTTTGACGGAAGGACTGTAGGTGAAAATGTTTATGGATTAAGGTTAGCTTTGTTTTCTTAAAATTTCTAAATGATAACTCCGAGTTTTTCTTTTTAGGATTTTTTGGGTTTGTTTTATTATTATTATTATTTTCTTAAAATTCATGTGTATTTTTCTTATGTACAATAATAATAATGTATTAAGAAATTCATATTTTAAGTCAAAATTATTTGATAAATTTTAAGCTATTTGTTGACTATAAATCAACTCTATTTTTTTTTTTCATCTGGGACTAGGAACCGGTGTTAAGTGATAAGAAATTTATTTTTCAAGAAAATTATGTGTATTTGAAAGATAACATTTTCATTGCTTTTTTAAATTTTGTTTAAAAAAAATATTTTTGAAAAAATAATTTTGAACCATATATAAGAAAAGAGTTTTAAAAAAACATAAACATAAAAGTTTAAAATGCCCTAAATCATATATAAGAAAAGAGTTTTGATGCTTCCAAATATACAACGGTTCCTTGATTTACGCCCATTTGGGCTCGGATTGAGCTGTAACTTTGTTGAAATCGGAATTTAGAGGATACCAAATTTAATTTTTGAAGTTTTCAATTTAGATATGCTTTGAGATTTCGTGCTTAATCAATACAATTTTGTGTGACGTATCACTAATCAATTTAAAAATTTGTTTTATAAGTTAAAAAAAAAAAACTTTTCTTTACATTAATTTTTAGTTACTGTACATAAAAAAATGAAATTAAGATGTAGCTCGTCACTATTTATTTATTTTGGTAAGTAAATTAAAAAAATAATAAAAATACGTAACATTGCTGCAATCATTGATTAAAAAATGTAATTATAGAGAGTTCAATCATTGATACGTCACCTTGAGACATTCATTTTGACTGTAACTTTGCTGAAATCAGAGTTTAGATAGTCTCAATATTTTGGTAAGTAATTTCAAAATAATAATAATAATAATAATAATAACATATACATATTGAGCTACCTTTAAACACTTGTAGTTGAAAGACATTTTCATTTTTATGAATGTCAGTTTCAATATTTAAAGCTCGTCTTCATCAGCGTTACATCAAATTTTATTATTTTAAAATTGAGTCTCCATCAATTAATTAAAAATAAATGTCACTACTTGTGAGTTTAAAATACCATTTGATTATTCTATATGTAATAAGTGTTATTCATGAAGTTCATTTTAATCTGTTGGTTGTGAGCTTTGACTTTCAACGAAGAGGTCTTGGA